ATGGCGAGATCTTGGCTCACCACAACCTCCACCTCCCAGGTTCAAGCAATTCTCCTGCCTCTGCCTCCCGAGTAGCTGGGATTACAGGCATGCACCACACTCCCGGCTAATTTTGTGTTTTTAGTAGAGATGGGGTTTCTCCATGTTGGTCGGGTTGGTCTCAAACTCCCGATCTCAGGTGATTTGCCCACCTCGGCCTCTCAAAGTGCTGGGATTACAGGTGTGAGCCACAGTGCCCAGCCAAAAATATTTTTAATGTTTCTCTCTGAACATGATACTGGCTTTTGGTAGCATATTTCTAAAAGAAAGTCTAAAAGTGTCTAAATAGCATTATAGTATATAAATATAATGGGATCTATAAATATGAATTAATAATAATAGTAAAATATTGCCTGTAATCCCAGCACTTTGGGAGGCCGAGGCAGGTGGCTCACAAGGCCAAAAGATTGAGACCATCCTGGTCAACATGGTGAAACCCCGTCTCTACTAAAAATACAAAAAATTAGCTGGGCATGGTGGCGCATGCCTGTAATCCCAGCTACTTGGGAGCCTGAGGCAGGAGAATTGCCTGAACCCAGGAGGCGGAGGTTGCGGTGAGCCGAGATCGCGCCATTGCACTCCAGCCTGGGTAACAAGAGCGAAACTCTGTCTCAAAAAAAAAAAAAAAAAAAAAAAAATAGTAAAATATTTAATCAAATGCCTTACTCTTCTTGATCATTTGCATCAAGAGGTATTTCTGCTATCTAAACTGACTTTTGAAAATGTTTCTACAGATAAATTCTATTTTGTAACTAAATAGCTAAGTTTTATGAAACTACATAAAATTTAGCATTAAATTACTTAGATGTAATGAATATTTTGTTGTCATAAAATTCACTATGATCAGAAAAACAGAACTGAACTATCCTCTTAAAAGCAATTATCTGTGTTACAGAGAAAGACTGTGATTAAATTAATGGTTGCTGAAATAGCATTGAAAAGATGTGTGTGTGTGTGTGTGTGTGTGCTGTGAGCACAGCACACACACAACAGCACACACACACACACACACACACACACACACTATTCTTCCTACATATTCAGTAGCTGCAAGTCAAAATCAAAATTAAAGTCTTGGCTGGGCACAGTGGTTCACACCCGTAATCCCAGCACTTTGAGAGGCTGGGGCAGGTGGATCACCTAAGATCGAGAGTTGGAGACCAGCCTAGCCAACATGGTAAAAACCTGTCTCTACTAAAAATACAAGTAGTTAACTGGGCGTGGTGGCGCACTCCTGTAATCCCAGCTACTCAGGAGGCTGAGGCAGGAGAATCATTTGAATCCAGTGAGCCAAGATGGCGTCACTGCACTTCAGCCTGGCCAACAGCGCCAGACTCAATCTCAAAAAAACAAAAAAACAAAATTAAGGTCTCAATGACACCTACACCCATATTTAAGTGCTTACATATTCATTCATTCAGCAAATATTGAAAACTTACCAGTTGTAAGTCAATTCAATCCTATGTGTGTGATAGTGAACATCATGCCATATTCACCCATAAGTCTACCAGGAAATACAGATAATGGAAGAAATATTACAACCAAACATTCAGCTAAGAAAGCTGGAACCATGACATTGCTATTTCTTCTGTGGCAGCATAAACATCAAAAATATTTTCGTAAAATAAAACATTTGTAAATGTTTGTAAGTACAAATTCTTATTTGTAAAGGTAAACAACAAAAGTCATAATTATGTTCAATATTGTCACTTGTTTTGTGGCACAATGTTGTGGGTTGAATTGTGTCCCCCAAATTCACATTTTGAATTCCTAACCCCCAGTACTTAAAGAATGTGATCTTATTTGGAAATAAGGTCTTTTCAGATGGAATTAGTTAAGATAAGGCCATATTGGAGTAGGGTGGGCCTTTAATTCCACATGACTGATGTTCTTTAAGAAGGAGAAATTTGGCATAGGCATATGAACAGCGAGAACAAAATGTGAAGATGAAGGCAGACATGAGAGTGATGCAGCAGAAGCCAAGAAGTGGCAAAGACTGCCAGAGAACTACCAGAAGTTTAGGGGAGAGGCATAGAACACATTCTGTCTCACAGCACTCAGGAGGAACTAACCTTGCCAACACCATTATTTCAAACTTCTTGCCTCCAGAACTGTGAGACAGTAAACCTTTGTTGTCTAAGCCATCCAGTTTGTGATACTTTGTTATATCAGCCCTAACAAACTAATATACTTGAGATGGAGCTTCATGTAGTAGAGAATGGTGAAATTATAATAAGCAAAACTCTCTCTCTCTCTCATATGCACATACACATACTTGTTAAGATATTTATAACTGACAGGTTATAACTGATAGTACAATTTTATTATTCCCAAAGTCCAGGAATTAGCAGGAAGAATAGCTCCTTCACTATTCCCTGTAGTCCAGAAGCTTCTGTTTCAACTATGTTACAAGAAAGTATCTGTTAACACTACCCTAGTATTTAGGCAAATTCATAGTATTGTGCTAAACAATTAAATATCAAACTTTTGGAAGAAATGTCCCAGTATCATTTTTCACAGGTTTTGACCTCCCAACTTTAAATAAACAATGCTAACTCCCACCATTACTTTTTTTTTGAATTAATGAACAACTTCAAATATGAAATTTAAGGGATGGGCATACTGAGCCACACAACTCTAAAGAACATTGCATATGGTGTTTTTGAAAGCTTGTATATGTAACCCTCTAAGTTGAGAAAAACAGGAAAAACAAATAATAATATTCATTATTTTATGATTATAAGAATCATAAAACACTTCCTATGAAAATATCATAAACAGCTGTTGAAATTGGCACTCAAATTTACACTCATATGACTTATCACTGCTCAAGAGCAAAGGACAATATTTGAAGGAGAATAAAAAGACTTTCTGTATTGGTGGGTTTAAAAAATCTTGACTAAAGACGGAACGCTTTCCTTAAAACTTGTATTCTTGGTTTTACACAGACATAATACTAATATTTATATTAATAAATTACTTGCCGTGTTTGCTTTAAGGAGAGCCCTGAGGGCACTTGCGAAGCGCAGCAGTGACACCTGCTGTTCAAATAAGGCAGCTGGGGGTGTCAGCCAGGGGATGTATGTATCCAGGAGACCTTCAGGAGTCCAGTGAAACTTACAATCCTTTCTCCAGAAAATAAAACATTTTCCCATATAAATACAACATTTTCCTATAATACACATAATTCATGAATCCCTGAACTAAATAATAGGGTCACTTGCGCTCTATATTTATCTAAAATGTTGTAAACTTTCAAGTGGATGACATAATTCTGTAACTTCAGGACAGCATTTTAAAAGGAGCAAATTCGAGGCAATTTACCTCAATCATTACCATGTTATTATGAGTCTGGGCCTATAAATTAACATCTCTAGGAGGATTAAATATGTAAAAAGTTAATAGGTCCAACTAGATAATAAATATATTGTCATAGATAATAGTCTTGCTTAGGTTTCTATGGTTTGTCATTTCAAATCACGTTGTTTTCTATAGTTATTATTATTCATAGGTGAGTATATTACTTAGTTCCTCAAGTATATATTTTAATTATGGTATTTTCTCGCAAGGAAATACCATCACTGACCACTTTTACAGAAAATCAGTCAAATTCAGAGGTGATGCATCTTCAAGTAAAAACATGACCTTAGGGCCAGGTGCGGTGGCTCAGGCCTGTAATCTCAGCACTTTGGGAGACCCAGGTGGGCAGATCACCTGAGGTCAGGAGGTCAAGATCAGCCTGGCCAATATGGTGAAACCCCGCCTCTACTAAAAATACAAAAATTAGCCAGGCGTGGTGGTGCATAGATGGAATCCCAGCTCTTCGGGAGGCTGAGGCAGGAGAATCCCTTGAACCTGCAAGGCAGAGGTTGCAATGAGTCAATATCGTGCCATTGCACTCCAGCCTGGGCGACAAGAGCGAAATTCTATCTCGAAAACAAAACAAAACAAAACAAAAATCCACCATGACCTTAATGTTTTAAATTTCCAAGTGAGGTCGTCGATTTACATTGCTATTCTTTTGCTAGGTCTTTTTTTTTTTTTCCTTTCGAAGTGTATGTAGTATGCTCTGGGGACAGGATCAGTGAAACTGAAACAGGGCCAGTAAGGTGTTTGTCTATTTAAGCTTGCAAATGCCCAAGTCCATCAATTTTTCATTTTACATAGAAAAATAATTGGGTAGGATTGACCACAAACCGCAGATTTTACCAGGGTAGAAAGCAAAAATATCAATACTTGGCACAAGGATATGTAAAAATAAAAATGGCTAAAGTCTCCAATTGTGCCTTTCTTCAACCAGCTTTGAAACGCTGTATCCTGGCATTGTTGAAGCCCAATAATCAGCAGACAACTAGGAAATGGCCAAGAGCTACACAGTTTTGAGAAACTAAAAAAAAAAAAAACCAACCTATTAGCAGAAAATAAATGTGGGGTTTTACACTGTTAAAATTATTTTGTATATCTACATATGAAAAATCTCCAAATTAAAACAACTATTCCGCAACATTCACTCAACAAGTGTTTACTGGACTGTTTAAGCGAAATTGTTTTCAGGCGTTAAGCCTACAACAGTGTTCAAGTGCTTCTCGCCAGGACTGGAACCAGCAGACAAACCACGTCGGCGACCTCCAAAGAGATCAAGGCAGTGCAAGTGACTTAGAGCCCACGGGAGTTTGCTCTCCAGACGCTGAGGTTCCCTGAATAAAAAGCATTAAGCTACCGGGTAATACAGCACGAACAATCAGGACCCCAAGCAAAACAGCACGAACAACCAGGACCCCAATCAAAACATTTAAGGCTGAGGATAAGGAAGAAAACAAATAGTAAGATTTCCTCAGAGGTGCGAGTGAAACCTTCCGGTCAGGCGCTTCAAGGAGTCTCCGCTCCTCAGCTTCGAGACTCCGCCCTAGAGGCGGTCCCGAGGAGGAAGATCCGCCTCCCGATCCCAGATGGCCGGGGGAAACCAGCGCGCGTGCGCAGAGTTGCGTCACATCCGCCGCCTGGGTGCCCAATTCCGGAAGGTGCCGCACAGTTGTGGCGGCGGGTACTGCGTTAGTGATTAGGGTTTCGTCGCTGCCAGAGGTGGGATATACGGCAGCATCATGGTCGAGGTAAAGTGACACTGGTGCTCTCAAGAACCGTTTGCCTCTGGACTGTTTTTCTTTGGCAGTGGGCGTGGGGGATTGAGAGTGCTTGGAGTCCGGAGAGAAAAGAGGCTACGAGGGGAGCTATTTGGCCAAGGCCGGGTGGTCTCTTTTTCAGGTTTTCGGGGAAGGGGGAGAAACCGGATGAGAACCCGAGTCAGAAGTTCAATCCGGGCGCGAAGCCTGAGATAAAGCGTTCAGTCCCCGTTTGACTCTTGGGGGCTGGACACTGTCCTTGGAGGCGGGGCCTCTGTTGGTGTTCGACCACTGGTACTCGCCGCCCTCGGGGCAGTGTCAGTGATTCTGTGCCCTAAAAGACTGGCGGCCTTCTTTATCTTGCGTTCAGGTTCTTCTCTTATTTCATCTCTACCCCCAGAAAATCTTGCCATTCTTTACATCTTTCCCTGCCTTGAACAGCCGCTCTGTTAGCTGGTCTTGTCCATCTTACCCCATATATTTATTGATTCCATCAACTCTTCTCTGTAACCACTGCAGTCCACCTTAATTCAGACCAACCGCATCCTTCACCTGGACTGGTTTCCTTGTTTCCATTTTGTTCTATAAGTTCTGTTTAAAACGTAAGTTGTTCATACCTTTCTTGCTTAAAACCCTTTACTGACCCTATGTTGCTGGAACACAAAATATTAGGTTGTTGTAATGGTCTAAAAGGCCTTACCTAATCTGGACCTTGTGTACCCTTGCAACCACAAAGCACCTTCTCACCCACCATATACAGCTGTACTGTGCTCCTTGTTTTATTTCAGTTAACTGAACACCTTTTTACATAATATTTCTGTCAGCCTGGTTCGTTTTAACTTCTGTTTGTGCAAAGCTAACTCCCTTTCTGCTTAAATATCATCTTAGTGAAATCTTTTACAATTATACTTAGTCCTTCGTACTCTGACTCAGCACCTTGCTTGTTGCCTTCATAGCACTTATCAAAATGTGGAATTATTTTACTTTTTACTGTTTCCTCCTGAGCACAGGGACCATGACCACCTTTTTATCATTTTGTTGTGAGATTCTAGCACAACACCTGCCAGAGCTCAATAAATATTTGTTAAATAAATGACTAAACTCAGGCATCACTCAGTTGCTATACCTGAGTTTCTAGCCAAAGAGGAGCTTCCTCTTTTCTGAACTTGACTCCTGTAGCTTGCAACTAGTAGCTATGATGAGTGTATAAAGCTTTTTACATTTTTAAACATGTAAAGTGTATAACCAATCTGACGTTATGTTATGATTTGTTTAATTTATAGGTAGGTGTGTAATTGCATTCTTTCTTTTTAGGAGGTACAGAAACATTCTGTACACACACTTGTGTTCAGGTCGTTGAAGAGGACCCATGACATGTTTGTAGCTGATAATGGAAAACCTGTGCCTTTAGATGAAGAGAGGTAGGTATAGTTTTTGTTTTTGTTTTTTTTTTTTTTTCCAGTTGCTGAAATATTTAACATTTTAATATTGGGCAAAGAGAACAGGGAGAGGGAGACCTTTAAAGATAAGTTAGTAATACTCATGGCCTAATTATTCAATAATGAGTGGTATTTTGGCATAATTTAAGCTGATTTAACTTTTTTTTTTGCCTTTTACAGTAAAAGTTCCATTAATTAATTGCATTTTATAAATGCCCAGTAATTAAGCGAGCCCCTTTTAGGTGTTTTATTTTATAATAAATCACTTTGTATGTGCTTTCAGCTTCCTGCTGCTCTCAGAGCCTTGCTGAGCTGAAATTGTACCTGGCCAGTACCTCTACTCCTATCTTTTCTCGTTAGTATGATAAAGATTTTTGAATGGTGGCACATTTTTGGTTCTACATATCCAGCTCTAGTCTGGGATTGCATTATGTGCAGTGTTCCTTCTTTGTTCTTTACCCTTTTAAAATCTACTGAATTCCTCAAACAAGCATTTATATTTAATTTATAAAGTAGACAATTTTAAAAAGTAATATAAGTGCCTTTCTTTCTAAAATACTGAACCAGTTAAGGATTTTGATTAGTTTTGACTAACCTGTTTAGAAACATAGAAAGGCTGCTATAAAGTTCTTACTATATTTATATATTGAAGGAAAGTATATTGATTTTGAGGTTTCTTAAAGGATATGTTAGTTTCTATATATCTTTCAATCAGACCCTTGATAATTTATCATAAAAGGTTTTGTATTTATTTGGTAACGAACTAAAATATTAGGTTTAATGAATGCTGTGTGGTGGAATGTGAGCAAAAGAAAACAGATAATGGTGGGAAAATGAACTTGGAAATTTTTTAATCTTTTAAATATGACTTAAAATCTTACTAGAAACTTTTTCTACATGATTTGGCAAACTTAAGCTATCCAAGTATTTGTTTTAAAGTATTTACGGATATGTTCTTATGTTTATAATTTCTAAATAGTCACAAACGAAAAATGGCAATCAAGCTTCGTAATGAGTATGGTCCTGTGTTGCATATGCCTACTTCAAAAGAAAACCTTAAAGAGAAGGGTCCTCAGAATGCAACAGATTCATATGGTCATAAACAGTACCCTGCCAATCAAGGTGAGTATGGTATTATCAGAAATGTCAGGACTTACATGTGAATTTTAAAAATAGAAAAATAAAATGGGTTATTTATGCCCCTCCTGGCAGAACTTATTGTGATCATACAGTATTTAATGGCTGTATTGGTATTATAATGGAAGTTTTGATCCTCATGGGAATACTGAGACATTGGTTGCTGACTTTTTTTTTAAAGCAGAATAATGATGGCAGAGATTCTTAGAATGTGGAGAAAGTCGCAGTGGAGACTAAGGGAAGAATTTGGAGAATATTCTTAACCTGTGGGGATGCCATGTATCTTGTCTGTAATTCAGAAAGATGAAATTAAATACTAAAATCGTAATAAAGAGAATTCAAGATTCCACAGGAAACCATTCACTTGGAAGAAATACCAGAGTGGATTGTCATTTGATAGGAGGGCTTCTTTGCACACCATTGCTGTACAGCGAATGGGCAAGGACATGGTTTACAGGGGTCAGAGCAAAAGTGATCAACTTCCCTTATTTCTGAGGCTTGACTTTAGTTGAGAAAATTTGGTAGCTCGGTTGATAATTTAATATTATTTGCTACATTTAAAGAGATGGTAACTTTTATATAAGATACATTCAGTACTGTTGATTTTTTTTCCCCCTTTTTCTAGGACAAGAAGTTGAATACTTTGTGGCAGGTACACATCCATACCCACCAGGACCTGGTTAGTGAGCTGTTGCATATTGAAAATGTCTTTAAAATGTCACACATATTTTCACTAATGAGCCAATAATGAGATTCTCATTGCCTATAAAATGCAAGATAAGCTCAATAGCCAAGCATCCATACATAGCTTTGTAGGTGATAATAAATATTCATGGGCCTTCATCAGCAAAGATTTTTAAGTATGTAATTTTTCAGGCACTGTGCTAGGAATTCAAAGACAGTAAAACTGTTGCAGGCCTAGACCAATTTATTATCTGGTGGCTTAGGCAGACATGTAAATATCACTAAGCTTATAAAAATGATGGAAATGTTAGAAGCAGTATGTTAGAAACATGTCCTATGTCTATATTAAGGCATTGGCTTTCAAATGGAGGGGCTAGTATAACAGGGTAGAGGACAAAAGGCTTAGTATATACAGAAAGTACAGGGAAATTGGGTGTAGTAAGTTCCATCCCACCTTTGGAAACATTATGTTAGTATTTGAAGAACTGCTTAGTACTGACTTTTGAAACCAATACCCGAATATAATGGAAATTAACTTTACTATTCTGGGCTGCTTTAATACCAGGTTGGTTGTGATGAAATCAAATTTGAGTTACGTGTTATTAGGCAGTATTTATTGTAGAAATTAAAAACAAAGATGAGCAAAATTTAATCAAAATTTTATCTCCACTGCCTGGAGATAAACATTTGGTGTATGTTTTCCTTCATCCTTTTATTTTAAATGTATATAAATGAAAACAAAGCTACTAAAAGAAATTGATTTTTCATTTTAATAGGGGTCGCTTTGACAGCAGATACTAAGATCCAGAGAATGCCAAGTGAATCAGCTGCACAGTCCTTAGCGGTGGCATTACCTTCTCAGGCCAAGTATGAAGTACTATAATTACAAAGATCTTAAAAGCATATTTCACTGTTGATGGTTTTTTAAAAAATTTCTTTATAACTATTTTATGATATTTTTCTTTATCAGGACTAAGAAAAGTTTAAAGGGTTGGTTTTGCAGAATATATGATTGGAGGTATTAATTACTTTATATAATTTCTTTTGCCTCAGGGCTGATGCAAATCGTACTGCACCTAGTGGAAGTGAATACCGACATCCTGGGGCTGCTGACCGTCCACAGCCTACAACGATGAATTCAGTAAGTTTTTCTGCCTCAAATAGCAGGTTTTTAACTTTCAGATTATGTTGCCTTATTTCCCTTTAACCAAAAGTCTTAAATACTAAAGAAATGAACACTTCTTTGGAATAATTAAGATAAATAGCAGCATGAGCTAGTCATTCATATTTCATAGCCCTAAAACTCAAGTTGGTAGTAAATTAATGTATTTTTAAGAATTTAATTCTGTTATATTGTGCATAATATATATATTTTGATAATATGATGTTGGTATTTATTGCCCACTATTAAAAATGCAAGGAGTGTTTTTTGAAACTTGTGCTAGTATGTATTAGATGAAGTTTTAGTTTTTTGTTAAAACTAAGTTGGCTATTCAGTTACACACTGTAGAACTGTACAGTTGTACTGTGCTGTTAGTGTTGTGCTATTCATGCGTTATACAACTGGTCTTATAAATGAACATTTAGAAATAAGTTTATTGGTTTGTAAGTAAGTGGCAACTGCTCAGTATGGTAGAAGTAGTAATATAATTATTTTCTACAGTGTTTTTACTGACTTATTTATCTGCAGTGTATTTTCTTATGCTGCCATTTGAAATAAGTGCTGGCTTTACTGCTCAGCTCATTATGCAATTGATTTGACCTTATGAAAGGAGTGAAGGTGTAGCCTCCACATCTCATTTCTTCCTTTAACTTCATTCAGAACACATTTTCTGTCCAGGTTCTCTGTCCTTATATTATGAGGGTATAATTTAAGTTTCTTGAGGGCAGGAACTTTATGGGCTTAAATATTTTTTAGGTGACTAGATGGTTGCTAACAATAGAAGGTATATCAGGTAGCATACCTTTTAAAATATTATTCAAGTATTAGAAGATAAATATTAATAATGTTAAAATATGACAGTGAAAGGCAGTGGCATTAATACACTTAAAATAACTTTAATAATAGGAGCTTACATGGAGCATTTACTACTTTTTTGTAGTAACCCTATGAAATAGGCACTATTCCCATTTTACAAGTGAGACACATAGAGGTTACATAATTACTACCCAGTGTCAGTCAGCTAGTAATGGGCGGAGCTGGGTTTTGAACCCATACGGTGATGTGTACTCTTAAGTCTAAGTTCTGCCTCTCTGTGGTTTTATAATTGCTTTTTTAAATTAGCATGCAGAAAATTTTATTTCTTCATTTATGGAAAAGCTTTTGTAAGTTTTCTCTTTCAGTTTCCATTTCGGAATTGATAACATGAAGCCTTAGGTATGATGTCTTTAATAATAATAATGTAGTCTCTTTTATGTCTAGATTGTCATGGAGACTGGCAATACCAAGAATTCTGCACTGATAGCTAAAAAAGCTCCTACAATGCCAAAACCCCAGTGGCATCCGCCGTGGAAACTCTACAGGGTGAGTGACTCTGCATTTATTTTATTATGTAAACCATGATTGCTTTCTAGTCGACAAACACCGAAGAACAGAATAAGGAGGAAAAAGTGAATCCAGGCAGTATCTTAAAAGAGCTCTTGGGAAGGTCACTTCCCTAAGTAAAATTTGCACTTGTATTTTATATAAAATACAGTACAAAATGTCCAGATAAAGCTACTAAATATGGATGGCAGACTAAATAAATTCAGAAAAAGTGTTCAAAGTATTTAGTTTGAAGGTGAAGGGGGAAATACCATGTGAAGAAATTTCACTGGGCTTACCAGTTATTCTTGCAATTACAATAAATTACAGTGATTCAGAGTATATCATCTAAAAGAAAATGGGCATGCATGCTCACTTCAGCAACACATACTAAAATTGGAATGGTGCAGAGAGGATGAGCATGGCCCTTGCACAGGGATAACACAAATTTGTGAAGTGTTCCATACTGTTTGATTATTTTGCATTGCTTGACTATAAAAATATCTCATGTACCCCATATTTCTGTGGATTCACAAAAATTAAAAACAGAAAATTTAAAAAGAAAATATACATAGGAAGTGTACAGCCAAACAGAATATATATTTTAAATTTTTATTTTTCAAATGATGGTACAGTAAGAACCTTTTTCTTTGACATACAGATTAATGAATTGTAATAGATGTATTGATTTGGGTAACCATTACCACAATTAGGATATAAATGTTACATCACCTCAAAAAACACCCCTGTGCTTTTCTTTTGCAGTTATGCCTTCCTTCATCTCTGACAATCAATGATCTGTTTTCTGTCACTGTAGTTGTCTTATTTTTTTCCAATAATTTAAATACTAATTTATTTTTAGTTTTAATGGCTAATAGATATACATATTTATGGGCTACATATCCAATTTTGAAGCATACAGTGTGTAGGCTGGGCATGGTGGCTTATGCCTGTAATCCCGGCACTTTGGGAGCCCTAGGTGAGTGGGTCTCTTGACCCCAGGATTTCAATACCAGGCTGGGCCACACAGCAAAACCCCGTCTCTACAAATAATATGAAAATTGGCTATGTGTGGTGGTGCATACCTGTGTAGTACCAGCTCCTCCGGAGGCTGAAGTGGGAGGATCACTTGAGTTCAGGAGGCGGAGTTCTCAATGAGCCAAGATTGTGCCACTGTACTCTAGCCTGGGCAACAGAGTGACACCTTATCTCAAAATAAAAAAGAAAAAAAAAGCATACAATGTGTAATGCTCAAATCACTGTAATTGGGATATTTCTCTCCACGTAATTGGGATATTATTTCTTTGTATTAGGAACATTCCAATTTTGCTCTCCTAGTTCTTTTGAAATACACAATAAATTATTCTTAACTCTAGTCACCCTATTGTGCTACCAAGCTAACTAACCAAACTAGTGCTACCAAACTAGTGCTCCAAACACTAAATCTTACTCCCTTTATCTAACTGTATTTTTGTACCCATTGACCACCCCTCTTTATCCTCTGCCTCCCCACTCACTGTTCTTCCTAACCTCTGGTAGCCATCATTCAACACTCAAGATCATTTATCTTTCGGCTCTCATGTATCGGGAAGACCATGCAATATTTGTTTTTCTGTGCCTGGCTTATTTCACTTAACATAATGTCCTCCAGTTCCATCCATGTTGTTGCAGATGACAGAATTTTATTCTTTTTATGGCTGAATAGTATTCCGTTTTGTTTATGTACCACGTTTTCTTTATCTAGTCACCTCTCGATGGACTCTTAACTTGGTTTAGCTATGTCTTTTTGACTATTGAAATCATACAATTTGTACTTTTTGAGACTGGCTTCCTTCACACAGCTTAATACCTTTGTGAGTTATTAAAGTTGTTGCAAGTATTAATAATGTATTCCTTTTTATTACTGAGTAGTATACATTATGTAGATGAACCACAGTTTGTGTATCTATTCACTCATTGAAGATAATTTAAATTACTATAAAATCTAATAGTCAAATTATCTTTTAAATTTAGGATGTGAAGATGGGAGGGCAATTCAAACTCGGGCTGCGGTTAAGCTTAAATACATTTTAACTTCTATGTTAGTCTGCCCATTCTACTTTGTTTTATACAGGTTATCAGTGGGCATCTTGGCTGGGTTCGATGTATTGCTGTGGAACCTGGAAATCAGTGGTTTGTTACTGGATCTGCTGACAGAACTATAAAGGTAATAATGAAGGCAGAACATATAAACCTGACTTTGTGTTTGTCATTTAAGTTTAATCAGTTATTACTTCTTGTGGCAGGAATTGCTATTGCAGTTCCTCTGTTGTTTTAGACCTGAATAAGGAGTAAAATTTATCGTTTATACCCATAAGTGTTCTAAGTAAATATCTGTTTGAAAAGTGGTATTTACTTGCCGACTACCTACCATTAATTCCTTGATAGTTAAAATTTTCTCTCCAACTGGTTACAAAATTAAGAGCCTGCTCATCTGTAGAAAATGTGGAAAGTATAGAGAATTATGAAAATACATACACCTGTATATAATCCTACCATTGTTAGATATTTGGGTAAGTTTCATTTTAGTATTTATTTCTGTAACCGTGCCTTCACTTCTAAGCTTTTTTCCTGTGTGTGTGTTTTTCTTTTAAAAATCATTCTTAGTATGTAATTTTACATCTTGCTTTTTTTACTTAACATCATGTCAAAAGCATATTCCTGTGAAAAATTTACCGTCTTTTAAAGTGGTTGCATAATATATCATTTAGATAGTCTGTAATCTGTTTTCCTACTGTTGGACATTAGAGTTTTTAGTCTGATTTTCACCGTTATAAGTAATGCTGTTAAGTTTTGTATATAAGACTTTTTTTGTATTTTAAATTATTTTGTTATGGGAGAGTTCTATAAGTGGAATAAATGGTTCAAATATTTTTGAAGCTGATACCCAAAGTACGAATTACTTTCCAAATGGGTGAATTGATACTTGCAGTATATGAGAGGATTCTTTTCAACACATTGGTTGTACATTCCTTTACATATATCTAATACAGTAAGCAAAATGGATATTTATTCTTTTTTAAAAACTTTGTATAAAATTTCTAATGAGTTTGAATGTTTTCATATTTGTATTAAAAAGCAGCAGTATTTGCTGCTTTTAGGGTTTCTTTAATTTGTTGCCATCCTCGGTTAATTTAATACCTATTCATACTGTTATTATCAACGATACCATTTATGTAACAAGAATGTTAACCTTTTGTCATCTAATTACAAATATTTTTCCAGTTTGAGCATGTCAGGTTTTTTCTTGCTTTTATTTGGAGGGAAGTCATTTTGCAAAATTTTTAATTTTTACATATTTGTTATCTTTTTCCTTTTTTCTTCGAAAGCTTAATTTTAATATCAGGATTCTAAAAATTTGCTTTGCAATAACCAGTGAAAGAAAAACATAAATATTCTTTGATTGCAGATATGGGACTTGGCTAGTGGCAAATTAAAACTGTCATTGACTGGGCATATTAGTACTGTGAGGGGCGTGATTGTAAGCACAAGAAGCCCATACCTATTCTCTTGTGGAGAAGACAAACAAGTAAAATGCTGGGATCTTGAATACAATAAGGTAAGCTCGGAGTTAAGGATTTAAAATGTTATGAACCACTGTTTATCTTTCTAATTCTAGAAGTTTTAACCTTCCTGTTTTTTCTTTAGGTTATAAGGCATTATCATGGACATCTAAGTGCAGTGTATGGTTTGGATTTGCACCCAACAATTGATGTGTTGGTAACCTGTAGTCGAGATTCAACTGCACGGGTAAACGGGATAGATTTGTGTGTTTATCTGTAAATATATGCATCTTGTAATGTGCACGTTTGGTTTGAGAGCCTTCAACTGATTGATAGAGAATTAAAGACAGTTATCTTAAGTCATCAATACCCTAGTCCCTGTTTTTTAACTTGCGTTATTTTTCCACCTTAGTCTTCATTTCTATGGCCTCATCATGTTAGTGTTGTTAGTGCCCTTCCCCTGAAGTGTGACATTCTCACATTCCGTTCTGTAACCACAACTATTGTCCATTAGTTCTTTCATTCAGTAGTCCAGAAGTAGTCCCATCATACCCATTCCTAGACTTTCAGTACCTGATCTTTCAGCTTTTTAAAATTCTTGCAAGCTGTCTATTTATATTCTTCCTCCAGTTTATAAATCATTATCTTTGATTTAAAGCATTTTCTTCATTATATTATGTCTATTGCATTTTTATAGATTTGGGATGTGAGAACTAAAGCCAGCGTACACACATTATCTGGACATACAAATGCAGTTGCTACAGTGAGATGTCAGGCTGCAGAACCACAAATTATTACAGGTATGATTGATACTTTTCAAGTTTACAGCATATTCATAACAGAATCCATGTTATTATACATACACTTTTAATAGTCACGATGACTCATGCTTTGTATTGTGTTTACAGTGTTTCTGTGTCATATTTTAATCATGGACATTTGAAATGTATTCAAATGAAATTTCATTTCACTGTTTTTATCTCATGCTTTTTACATATCATAGAGTATGCCATACATAGTATCCTGTAATGTCTGACTAGAATACTGTGTTATGAGCAGTTTACTATTTTACAGTGTCAAAATTATTTTTCTAGGAAATTAAAGTTAGAAGACAAAATACCTTGAGACTAGTAACCTTTAGAACCTTTAGAAATGATTTGAATCTTGTTTTTCTCTAAATAAAGTTGGATCTTTAATACTAGAAAATAATTCCTGTGCCTGTTGTATTTTATTAACTTAAAAAATCATTGGAGTTTTTCCCTTTCATGAGGGTATAAAATCATATATTTGTTTTATTTGTTATTTGCGTTTGTTCTAGCTGTTCAATTGACAGTGAATCAATTGTAATTTTTTAAAGATTTAAAGTCAACCTAAACGTTTGGAACTATGAAGAAATTAGCCAAGACTAATTTCCAAGTGATAAGACTTTTATTTAGAACATATGTGTTTTGGAAGAATGCTTTGTATTTTATTTAATTTTCATTCTTTTTTCTGGTCTATGTTTTGAGAGATGTATGTATTTCCATTACAGGAAGCCATGATACTACAATTCGATTATGGGATCTGGTGGCTGGAAAAACAAGAGTGACTTTAACAAATCACAAAAAATCAGTTAGGGCTGTAGTTTTACATCCAAGACAGTAAGTGTATTTTCCTAATTAGCTTCTCTTTTTTCTTCAGTTCTTAGTATAATGCTGAAATGCTCGTGTCAGCATGCTTTTTGGCAGTCATTTAGCTGTTGTCATTTCTAGGCCTGTGTCACACAGGAACTTGTGTTTCTTTTATTTTCTTCATGCACTATTTTGCTTTATTCCCTATAAAACATAAGGAAAGCCTTCTACTTGATAACACGTAAATAATGTCAAATCAGACAATGTAAATATATCATGATTAAATGCTGCTTGTCAAAATAAAAGATATTAGTGACTGGGCTTAATGTTTTGGACATAAATGATCTGGACACTGAGACATTCATTGAATAGTTTAATTCTTAAGGAGGAAGTTAATATATGTAGAAAGAGAAATAAGAAATCTGGACAGTATAGTCAAAGTATCCCAGGAGGTGGAACATAATATCACTACTACTGTTTGTTGTATCAGTTCACCCTGACACTTTCCTGGTTATATGCATATCCTTTCTCTCTCCCGCTTCCTTCTCTCTGTTTTTCACTCTCCGTACCCTTTTCTCCTCTCTTCTTCCTTCCTTTGCTTGTCTTTCTCACTCCCATTTCTCCTCCTCACTCCCTTTCTCTTCCTCTTGCCCTCTATTCCTTTCCTTCTCTTCCTTTCTTTCCGTTCCTGTCTTGCTCTCCCTCCCTTTGTAAGAGTTGCATTTGCCTTGCCCTTCATGTGAAACAGGGCATTTGCACATTTATTGTTCTAGCTTACTGCAGAGATTAAGGAAATGAAAGGAGAATAAAACATTCATCTAGGACTTAAAATATACTGTTTAAAATTTGAAAATCCGATTTATCTTTGAACGAATGTCTTAATATTTTTACATTTTGATATGACAGTATTTTGCTGAATACATAAATAATTGAGTGCACATGCAAAATATAACTATAATAAGCTTTATTATAGTGTTTCTGTGTCATATTTTAATCGTGGACATTTGAAATGTATTCAAATGAAATTTCATTGCACTGTTTTTATCTCATGCTTTTTACATATCATATAGTATGCCATACATAGTATCTTGTGTTCTGTTACCCCACTTTATTTAACTTGGTTTACTTTGTCATTAATTCTTTTTAATATTATTTCAGTTACACATTTGCATCTGGTTCTCCAGATAACATAAAGCAGTGGAAATTCCCTGATGGAAGTTTCATTCAAAATCTTTCTGGTCATAATGCTATTATTAACACGTTGACAGTAAATTCTGATGGAGTACTTGTATCTGGAGGTAAAATAAGATTTTTATAATCAATATGTTTGGTCTCTTATTTTTTTCTTTTAATGATGAATAAATATTTGTAATGCTTCTAAGCTGTGACACTTAAGTATTAGAGCAGCACTTGCCCGATTAGGGTATATGTGCATGTTACTATGGGTGTTTATGCATATTCATAATACATGTAGTATATTTCATAGTTTAGTTCTCTTTGAGTTCCCACCTAAAGAGTCTCAGGGATTTATACTGGGAATTGCCCAAAATTTTGTTTGGTATTCTGGAATTGATGTCAGACTTTGCGGTGCTTTTTAAGATCTATAAGATCTATAAATTCTGAACCCAGCACAAATGAAATGAGACAAACTATTATTAAGAGAAGGTTGAGTGCCTGTGTCGTATGTATTTTTATAATTGTAGTATTGCCTTGGTGCTTGGGCTAATTTTGCTTAATAAATGTCAGGCTGTACTGCTGAAGGGATACCAGGTGTAACTAGATTTTTTTCCCTTTAAGCTGACAATGGCACCATGCATCTTTGGGATTGGAGAACTGGCTACAATTTTCAGAGAGTTCATGCAGCTGTGCAACCTGGGTCTTTGGACAGTGAATCAGGAATATTTGCTTGTGCTTTTGATCAGTCTGAAAGTAGATTGCTAACAGCTGAAGCTGATAAAACTATTAAGGTATACCGAGAGGATGACACAGCCGTAAGTTCTCTGTTTAACATTCGTTAAGTAAAACAGCTGTACCAATTTGGCAGTGTATTCTCATTTAATTATCAGAAGGAGAAATAATCTTCATAATATTTAAGATATTTGTCTTCTTGAATGGTGTCTATTTATCGATTTCTATATTGTTTCACTGATGCCAGTGAATCCATGGATGGCTTTGATTTTATCCCAGCTTTCTTTGTTGTAGTTGCTGGGAAATGTTGCACCAAGGATAACAGCAAATAAATAGATTGCTATGCAAATTAATTTGAGAATCATAAGCTTCGGTGTTAGAATATTCGAATAGAAATGTTATTTTAGATGAAAAACTACAAACTAATCATAATCCATCTGTTATTAGACTTTGATAATGCCAGAAGTTTATCAACTTTTCCTAAAATTGTCAAAAAAACTGCTAAGTGTGTAATGCCAATGAATAATGTTAGATACCTTATTTTTGTTAGAAAGCCTGTTAGACATGAAGCAAACTAATAATACTTTATTTTAACTTACTTTTCTATTTTTAGACAGAAGAAACTCATCCAGTCAGCTGGAAACCAGAAATTATCAAGAGAAAGAGATTTTAATGAATGTGGAATTTTCTTTTTTTTTTTTTTTTTTTTTAAACATGGCGTTGATGAAGATATCCAGTCATTTTGTGCTCTGGCTGGGAGTATAAAGCAGAAATTCACTTGCTTCAATCATTGCTGCTTCATATTTTACAATAAACTGTCCCCTGTCCCCTACCCCCGTGTTTTTATTTCTAAAACAATTTGTGATGCTAGGAAGATGCAGATATCAAGCAAATGCAGGTTTATTGAACATAACTATTCTAGATAGAATATTTTGACAGTCTTATTAGAAAACCCCTTTTTAAAAATATGAAACATTATTATAACAGGACATGGGGGCACAGTAGTTTTTTTTAAAAATCCTTTAAAAACTAATATCTGTGACTAATAATTTGAGATTAAAATATTTGAAGTCTTATGTATGTTTATTCCAAAAGCAGTTTTTGAGTATATGTTCTACAAAGTTCTACACTAGATAGTGTTCAGGAAATAGACAAGTAAGATGTGTCTATCCTTTAAGACTTTCACTTTGGTAGTTTATAGATATTCTGTAATGGAGGTGCAGGTGAAATGCTGGGGGAACACAAGGGATAAGACCATTTTTCTCAGAAAGGATTGTGGAAGACTTCATAGAGTAAGTGTCATTGGAGATGACTTTGAAGTGAAGGGGACAAAGACAGAAAAGAGTATTCTAAGATGAGTCATAAATGACTCATAAGATGAAACCAGACGCAAAGCCTGCGGTGTGTTCTTGTACAAAGAATTTGCTACTGTTGAATAATGGGGAGTAAAGCTGCTTTGTGGTGGGGAAAGCTCATACAAGTATGGATTTTATTCCACAACTAGTAGGATGATACCAGTACTGGTATTGAAACTTGGGGAAAATAACTGGAGATACCAGTGCAGCTATTTAAAATGAAAGCAAGAGCTATAATCTTGTGAAGATTTTATAACGAAGTTTTAAAGTTTCTAATACTGATTCCTTCTTTTGGTAAATACAAGTTTTATCAATCCTTCCCTGGGATCCTGATTCCCCTTCAGTGAAGATTTGTCAGACTTCATCTTATATGATTAGAAAACACAGTTATAAGAACAATTTTTTTAATTTTCCAAATTAAAAAGTTACACCATGATTTTGAACGAGCATTTCCAATTACATTACCCATCTTGCATGCTATAGGTGGGAGTATAATTGTCACAGTCTTTAGGAATGTAGTTTTCCAGGATTTATTGAAACTGAACCTTTTGGCCTACTAAATTCATTTTTAGGAAACTGCCTAATAGGAATAATCTGACAAGTGTACACAAGCGAATTCATTGCACCTTTGTTCTTTCATACTTAAAACTAGCCCAAATGGCCTGCCAGTAAGTGACTGGTTTAACAGATGGTACCTTGATGTAATTTGTTTCTAAGTATTCATTAAGAAAGTGAGGGATGTCTGGATTATTAGGGCAAGATTTCCAAACTTTACTTTTAAGTTAAAAAAAAAAGTTGTGCAAGCATTTTTTGTGAACAACTTGATGCTCTAAAATACAATAAGTAACACTATGTTACCAACAGTGGCTCTGTTAGGAAGCGTAATTATGAAAGAACTTTCATGGTTGGTTTTACATATTTCTATAATGTTTTAATTTTCTATAAGCATGTATTTTGTAAACTTAAATAAAGAAAAAAGAACACTACACTTGCATTCCTGAGAGATTCTAATATGCCTTCCAACAAGAAAAATCAGAGGTGGATGATGTTCCATCCCCAAAGGCCGAGAGGAAATTAATAATAGTACAAGGAGATGAGAAAGCCCCTAGCTTCAACTGTTGTATTCAAGTTAGGTATATGTATCAGATTCCGAAAAGCATTTTAAAAAATGTTTCCCTGCTCCACACTGCCCTTAATGCCCTAGATGCATTAATTTCATCTACCGTAATGTATTCATGAACCCTATGAAAGATGCAGAATTTCATGTATGTGCCCTTTTACCTACTTGACAGACCTCCTAACCACTGTTAAGCCCAAATCTCTTCCACTGCCCATTCCATTATAGCTTGAGTATAGTCAAGCTATAAAATGTTAGCAAAGAAAAGCAACTCCACTGACTGGACTCATTCTTGGGTTTGTAACCACATATCTCAAGTGGACCATCAATGATGACCAAATACACATTTTCATAGTTAATGCCTTTTTCCTGTTGTTACACAGGATGAGCAATCTGCCTCAGAACAATTCCCTCTATGCAGTTGTTGCCATATGCTCTTGCCCACTCAAGGACCTTGCTCCCATGATTAAACCCTTTCTCTCTGTACCATGAATTCCTTCCCTGTCTCTTAAATGAGTGTCATCAACATAAAAAGAATAGGTTGTAATACTGCCTCTTTAAAAAAACGCTTAATCTAATGTTTCCCTCTAGGAACATACCATTTCTCTACTCACTTATAATCAAACTCTTGATTTCTATTTCCTCACTTTAGACTTTCTCAACCAACTGCATATATATATGTTAAACATATTTTTCTTTTGAATAAAGGAATTAGCAACCTAAAAACTGATTTTTTTGTTACAAAAATAGGTAAAACTAGATAAACCAATTAAACAAAAGTATAAATAATAGAAACAAAAGGAGGAAGGAAGTAAATAATAACTAAAAGATCTGTGTCCAATTCCATGCCATTATATTTTAAAAGGCAAACAAAATGATTAGTTATAAAGAAAAAATAGCCTATGGCTGTTTCAAAAAGTTACAGAAAACATAAACAGATTAATTGCCATAAAGAAAATGAAGTTGTCAAAGACAACCAACCTACCACCACTAACACCTACATCACCAAACCCGAAGGGCTTCAGAATAGAGTCCTGAAATAATTGCAATGACTTGAAATTTTTCTAGGACCTAGATAAAGGAGGAAATCTTTTGTGTGTTTTTAAATGTTAATATAACAAAGACCCAAATCTAATAAAGAACAAATAAATCGTGGTTTCATCTCACTTACAGATGCAAAAGTTCTTAGTAAAGTTTAATAGAAGAATCAAGCCACATACCCAAGTGGAGTTTATTTTAAGAATACGAGGATGGTTTACAATTAGGAAATAAGTTAATTAGCTATATTGATTAAGATAAGGTAGAAAGTATGAGCATCTTCAGCCGGGCCCGGTGGCTCACTCCTATATTCCCAGCACTTTCGGAGGCCGAGGTGGCGGATCACCTGAGGTCAAGAATTTGAGACCCACCTGTCCAACATGGGGAAACCCTGTCTCTATTACAAAATACCAAAAAAAGAAAAAGAAAATTGGCTGGATGTGGTGGCTCATGCCTGTAATCCCAGTTACCTGAGAGGCTGAGGCAGAAGAATTGCTTGGACCCGGGAGGCGGAGGCTGCAGTGAGCGGAGATCATTCCACTGCACTCCAGCCTGGGCAACAAAGTGAGACTTCTTCTCTAAATAAATAAATAAAATCTTAGCATCCTCATAGATGCTGAAGAAGGGTTTCTATATATAGAAAAAAGGGGTATATATGTAAATATAAATACATATATAGAAAATTATGTAATTAAATATATATATATATATATATATATATATATATATATATAATATTTCTTTTTTTTGAGACCTAGTCTTAATCTATTGCCCAGGCTGGAGTGCAGTGGCACAATCTTGACTCACTGCAACCTCTGCCTCCTGGGTTCCAGCTATTCTCCATATAGTGAATATAAATTCATTCTTGGTTAATAAACTTATTATCATAGATAGATATTTTGATTAAATACGACTCTTCCTTCTTAACTTGGTCAGGGGAAGTTTCTCCTGTAACTTCCTTAGGAGAATTTAGAAAGCTGAAAACCAGAAATTCTCCATGAGAATAATTTACCTAATTATTTTAATATATGAAGTAGAAATATTGATACTTGGCCGGGCGCGGTGGCTCACGCCTGTAATCCCAGCACTTTGGGAGGCCGAGGCGGGTGGATCATGAGGTCAAGAGATTGAGACCATCCTGGCCAACATGGTGAAACCCCGTCTCTACTAAAAAATACAATAATTAGCTGGGCGTGGTGGTGCACGCCTGTAGTCCCAGCTACTCGGGAGGCTGAGACAGGAGAATTGCTTGAACCCGGGAGGCCGAGGTTGCAGTGAGCTGAGATCGCGTCACTGCACTCCAGCCTGGTGCCTGGCAACAGAGCGAGAATCTGTCTCAAAAAAAAAAAAGAAAGAAATATTGATACTTGAGTCATAAATCATAGTTCAATTTTGTAAAAACTGAAGTTTACTGGACTCTTCTGCCTTAGAATAGGGGGAATGGGTGTGCTTTCTGCTTGATTTAAAATTGTGACCCTCCCAGCTAAATCACATAGTAATCCCTAGCTATCCCCTATTTCTGCTCTATTTTTCTCACTTGTTGCTTTTTAATATGATTTATTATTTTTATTGTCTGTTTCACCCAATAGAATTTGAGCTGCGAAATAACTGAGCTATCTTATTCACCAATATGTTGGCTGGTACTCACTTTATTTCGTTTGATATTTGAAGTCAGAAATTTTAATAATTGGGAAGTTGGAAGTATCATCTTCAGTGATCTGATTTGAATTTTTAAACTTTTGTAACAAAAGTAAATTATTGAATGAATTATTAAACAATGGGATTTGAAAGTAATTTTAACAAGGTTAATTTATACATTTATGAATTTAAAATGTAATTAACATTTAGCAGCGAACTCATAGATTTGGAAGATACTTTGATATGATTAAGCTGAATTTAGAAAGTGTGAGTTACAGTCTCACAGCGTTTGTACTGTTCAGTTTTTCAAGAAGTGGACCTTTGGAAAATGTTCTTATTTGAACAAACTGTACCTTCTATTGCTCTTTCTAAAATATACATGTAGCTTATGGTTTAAAGATAGTGTCACCTGGGAATGATGGCTCTTGCCTGTAATCCCAGAAATTTGGGAGGGCAAGACAGGAGGACTGGCTGGGCCCAGAAGTTCAAGACCAGACTGGGCAATATAGTAAGACCCAGTCTCTACAATTTTTTTTTTTTTTAATTAGCTAAGCATGGTAGCACAAGCCTATAGTCCCAGCTACTTGGGAGGCTGAAGTGGGAGGATCACTGGAGCCCAGGAGGTCGAGGGTTCAGTGAGCCATGATTGAACCACTGCACTACAATGCAGTCCACAACAGGTGA